CCCCAAAACCCCAAAACCCCAAAACCCCAAAACCCCAAAACCCCTCTGGTAAGCCTGAGTTTTGAAAAATTTATATATTTAAATTTGAAAGTAAATATGTACAACGAGGATCCAGGTAAGCTTTGATCAATATGACTCTCTGACTTGTCTTATAGGAGCTCACTTCAATCAAGGAATTTTCGGAGGTGAAGGAAAACAGAAGACACAACAACTCAAAAACCTAAGTAAGCTTAGAAGCAAAATGGAGTTTATTTTTATAGCAACTGCTGAGATAAAGAACATTGTCGGAGGCCTCAACAGGCCACCCTTCATGTGCAATCTATCCCTCGTAGACTTTGATGACAAGACACCGTAAGCTCAAACTTATCTTACCGCTAAATATAGACTTGAACTCCTAGAGTTATTGAATACTGTTCTGGGGGAACTTGACGAAACCCACAAAGCTGTAGATATCAGATCTGAGACTCAAGATGCCACCACTGAAAGAATTTGTGGCTTCTTGACTGTGCTTGGATTTCCATTTGATCTTACCCCATCATTAAAGAGAGATGTAGTACATGGAGACAAGAAGACCATTCATAATATCCTGAACTGGATTCTACAAAGACCTCAAGATTTGAAGAGAATCTCTTATACTTCAAAGTTCTTAGTGGCCTTGTCAATCCCTGAAGAACTAATGATGGACGAAGAGATTAGAGAGACTATGGATGTCTACAAAAACCTCCAGGCTGAATTCACTGCTGTACATCAGAACTTAGAGGTTTTGAGATCTGAAGCAATGTCACCAGATCAGCTGAAGAAAGAGATCACTCAGCTTGAATCAGAAAAAGAGCAACTCATCTCAAAGATCAGTATCTTCAAGGACAAGAATGATGATCCTGATTTCAAGGATCTCCTCGATGCTACCAGCCAGCTTAGAAAAGAGCAAGAGACTGAAGCTAGGAATGCTGAGAAGATGTCTGAACAAAGAAACATGCTTGAACAATCTGAACAACAAGAGTACATGACTAGACAAAGACTCATGGACGCGCAGAAGAACTCCTCTGCTGATGTCACTGCTGACCAGATGCTAGTTCAATTGAGAAACGAGACTAAGAAGAACAGAGAGCTCTGCTACGATGTCTTGGAAAGAGAGTATGAAGATAAGTACCAGAGAAGCCAGAAAATAGAAATGGTTCTGGCCGAACCAGTCACCACTCAAGGAGACATTGATCAGTTAGCCAATGAGGTTAGAAGACTTCAGAGAGACTGCCAGGTCCTTGACGACAAACTTAGCTCTACTAACCCAGCTGATGACAATCTTGCTATTTACAAGACTCAAGCAGCTGCTGCTTCTAAAAAGAAGGAGAATAAGAATGATGAGATGCAGACACTTGAGAAAGAAAAAATTGCTCTTGAGAAACTTATGGCAGAGAAAGAACAGGAATATGTACAGACTAAAGGAACTAAGTACATGAAGAGAGATGACTTCAAGCAATACGCCGCATCTCTTAGAGGAAAGAACCAGAAATATAAAAAAATGAAGAAGAACCTTGAAGACATCAGATCCGAACTAGCTGTACTCAACAGAACTGAGCAAATCTTGAAAAACAAGGCTGAAATGACTGATGACTTGATGAAGAAGCTCGAAGAGCAAAAGGGAATTGCCGGATATTCTAAAATCCAAGATGACATGGAGAAGGTTGCTAAAGACAGACAAGAAATTGATAAACTTAAAGAAGGATCTCTCCAAGAACTTACTAAGGTCGTACAAAATATTGAAGAACAACTTAAGTCTAAGAAGTCTAAGCTTGCTCCCCAGATTAAACAGCTGAGAACTTATCGAAAGAAATACGAGGAAAGAGAAGGTGATTATCTAAAGCATAAAAAGGCATATGAGAATACTCTCATGAGTTTTGAAGCTGATAAGAAGAATCTGGAAGAAGACACCAATAAGCTATGGAATGAGTATAAGGAAGAAGAGACTAAGTATCACTCCTTGAACATTCAGAGTACTATCCATAGTGTTTTGAAGAAGAATATCCAAATGGAGACCCAATTCCAAAAGAACCCAGATGCTAGATTATCTGATGATTTCAAGTCTCTTTCTGAAATGTACTCTGCAAAATTAGAGCAGGAGGATGAGACCATCAGAGATTTAAAGAAGCATCAGAGATATGTCAAGGATAACCTCGAAAATAACAGCTTACAAGTGAGACTCTTTGACGACCTTGTCAAGATCTTGGCAGTCAAGAAGAAGTCTGCTCTCTCAGGAGAGGCAGCTGGTATCGGTTATGAAGACAAGAATGCCAAGGACTATGACAGATTCGTTCTGAGAGAAGACTAGTTTACCTGACAATTCAATCAACTACAAATAGAAGGGGTTTTGGGGTTTTGGGGTTTTGGGGTTTTGGGG